TTTCAAACACCTCTCCTCCATGAAGGGAGATATCAAGCTGCTGCATAGAAAGCTCACTCATTGACTGGTATTAATTTTTCTTGCTACGCCGAGGAGCCATTCGCGTGCGGCCACTATTCAGCTGTCTAGGACGAAGGTCCTCAGACATAGCCGACGGTATTTTGAGATCTTTCATGATCCTAGCAGTTGCTTTTTTGGCCGATGTACAATTGAGAGCGAGAACCTTATCTTTTTCTAGTTCCAGCGATAAAAACCCCGTGGAACATTCCTCTATGAGATGACATAGATGCGTCAGATTATCCACTTCCACTCCATTCACTTTCTTCACCTGTTCCCATTGTTTAATGTAATTTTGTTATTATTCAGATAAAACTCTTTTACTAACTCTAGAGTATAAGATGAAACTAATTGAGTTTCTATTTTCATACAATTTATTATGTTTTGAAATAAACTTGATCGAGTGTGAAACTAAGAGTAAGCAATGAAATTTTTCATTACCTGAAAGTCTTCAAAATCAGAGTATCCTGTATTGAAGTCATCCTCTAAGATCTGTACCAAGAAACTCGAAATATGAGTGACGAAGAAGACTTGTTTATTTCTCGCAGGCTTTCATTGCTAAGGATAATTCAAGACAGAGATAATTTACTACTAAGAATTTAAGTACCTAAGTAGAAAATATTACGTTAAAATAAAGCGCCAACCTGAGAAATTATTACGATCTGTTGACCGGGTTTTTTGGGCATCTTATCGGAATGACTCTCGCAAATCCAAGAGCTATTAATGTATGGTTGGGATAGAGGTACGAAAACAAAACCCCCGAATATATAATAACTTCGAGGCTTGTCAAAGTGATGCATTGGAACTAGTGGTTGCACCTGTGAACAATAGGTAACCGTATCAGATGATTGTCTCTTTCTCAGAAAATGTGAACCACTAATTAATCTTAGAAGCAGAGAACCAATTATATGTTTGGGAAAGAAGTCACAAAACTATATAAATCGAAACCACTTACCGGTTTTAGACTGATATTGAACTCATACTCTTTTCCCTCTCTTAGGACTTTGAATAAGGCAGTTTCACATGGCTTCTTCATAGACACCAGATGCCTGAAAGTTATTCGTTCCTGTTTACGAAAAGGAACTATACACATGGGGAAGATTCAGTAATATATGGTGTAAATGGATAAAAACTATTATATGTATAATACATAGTACTATTACCTGTACCATCATTTCCTATAGGAACTCCATCAATCGAAAGAATGACATCAAATTTTTTCAGAAATTTGTGAGCATCCGACAACGGGTTTATTTGGTTTACAAGACATCCTGTCATTTCCTTGCTCATCTTAAAGTAGGCACGAAGTTGGGCACTCTCCATAGTCTGATATGATAGATCCATTGAGCAAAAACTAATAGGTTGACCACTTTCTTCAACACCACTTAAGAAATGCTTAATTACTGGAGTTGGAATTATGTAGCTACAGATGAATACAATAGAATAAAAGTTAGTTAAAACCTTCGTTTG